ACAAAGGAGTTCTTTAAAGGAATCGTGACCCTGAGCCTGACTGGTGATGATGTACCTGCCCCCCAGACATGGGGCCAAGCACTTCAGCCACCTTGTCACCGCTCTCTGGGGGCCTTACCCCTGCTGTTCCCATTTCCCAGAGGAAGTGACAGGCTCGTTGAAATTAGGTGACTTGCTGAGGGTCACAACTGGTGATCAGCTTGGCTGAGATTTGAACTCTGATCTGTTTGACCTGAATCTTGAGCTCTTAAGCACATTTTACTGCTTCTCAAGGTGGAAATAACATCAGCGATCTCCTGTATCTGCAGAGCGCTTGGTGACTAACAAAACGTTTTATGTTTGTTAGTGTTGTTATGTCCTCCCATCCTTACAACAGCCTTGGGTGAGGCAGACCCACCCAGCTGTCCCATCTCACAGACTGGACACAGGTTCGTCGGAGTGTGATGACGTGTGATGTCTGCAGCAGCATGTGGCTGAGCCGGGCCGGGTCCCAGCTCTCCGTGCCCTGGGTCTTGCTTTGTTTCCTTTAGTTCACTAAGGTCTGTAATTGTCAGGGAGAAGAGCAAGGGTCTAGCCCACTCCATCTTGTGGTTCTCCCTCTTTGCTCTTTAATTTCTCTCCTCACAACCCATCCCCTTACTTGACCCCATCTCTCGCTCTCCCCAGCTGACTCTCATTCCCACCTGCCTCAGGCTTCCTGTGCCGGGGGGTGGGGGCGCGGATTTGGGCCCTGCCACTTAGTGGTGTTGCTTCTTTGCTCCTCAGCTCTGCAGTTCTCTACTCTCCACTCCCCTGTCAGCTCCTCAGTGAGGCTTCCTGGCCACTCATAAAATAGCACTCTCGATCTCCTTTCACTTACTCTATTTCTTTTTTTATCACTATCACCACCTATTTTGTGTTTCTTTTACTTTCTAAAATGTGCCTTCCTCTCTGGAATGTAAGCTCTTTGAGGGCAAGGATCTGTCTCTTTTGTTCATTTGCTGTAACTCCCCCTTGGCATATACTTGATGGACAGCCCAAACACATCTCCTGTTTATGGGAAGGAGGTGGTGAGGCGTGGTCATCCCTGCGCTGTGTCCAGAGTTCTTCCCACTCCAGGATGAGCCCTAGGGAAATACTGTGGGCGTAAATGTTGCTGATGTCTTCACTTGTACCAGCTGGTTTACTGGCGTGAGCTCTTCCCTCCCCCCTTCCCCCTCCTTTGCAGGGATGCTTTATAAATGTATCAGTGGCTAGGTGATGTCACCGTAATGCATTTTGGGAACAGCCATGTGGTTTATGCATACTCGAGTTGCTTTGAATGCAAACCTGACATCATAGTGAAGGCAGCAGTGAACAACATATGCACAGTAAACAGGCAGAGACTGTCTTATTGATTAACAGATGAGGCCTCTGTTATCGATCAAAGCTCGGCGAAGAAATTTATCACTTTTAATTTCAGGGCTGCCAAATATTTCTGCCTCTGAGCCAGCTATTATAGAGACAATTTAAAGGCACATGCCTCCTTGAGAAAGGGTGGTTTCTGCCCCTTTCTGCTGGCTTTTGTGTCCTGGAACTGCCTGTCTTTGTGGTCAGGCTCAACCTGCGGGGGATTTGACCTGGGGTGGGGGTGTCCTGGGCTTCATGAATGGCAGCTGATGCCCATGGTACCCGTGTGTGATGAAGGTTCTGACCGAGTGACTGAGGACAGGGTACTCTCACACACCCAGCTCAAGGTTGTGACTTCAGCAGGGCGAACATAGAGGGCGGAGGACTTTGAGGACAACACGATGTGGTCAGGCTGGGCTCAGCCAGCAACCTTGCCTAGATAGTGTGTGTGAACCTGTTTTATCTTCCTGTGAACTTGTCTGGTGGCACGCATCCGGCCCTTTATTTCCTGCCTGCCCTGCTTCCTTTCTCTCTGCACCTCGGTCATTAAAGCAGACACTGAGACAGCCACATCTATGGCTGTTCTCTAAGAACTCTTCCTGCCACATCCCCTTGAGGCTGAGCTACTGAGGCCTCCTCACCCTAGGGCTCAGCTCGATAGTGGGGTATCCGCACTGAGTCCCAGGGCACTCTCCCCTCTCAGTCCCCACTTCCGTCCTCGGGCCTCCCTTCTTTTTGCTTTGGAGAGCCGTGAGAACTGATAGAACCAAAGAAAGAAATACAATGAAAATAAGATCCCTTACAGATCTGCAGAAAGTCACTGCTGGCTAATGATCTGGGACTGGGGAGTTTCTCTTTGTGAAGGGCTGGGCCTCACCTGCCTCGATCTTCCCACCGTGGCCCTGTCTGCTGTTTGAGGCTCATGCTGCATTTCCAGCAGAAATGGATGAAAAGTGGTTCAGGCTGCCACCTGTATGCCACAGTGTGACTGCTTGGGCATGGAGTTCCTTGGCTTTCTTCAAAGCTCTATAAACTCCTTTTAGGTCCTTGGCTGCAGGGAGGCCCTGCAACTTAAGGGAAGCCCAGAGGGATTGAGCTGTTTTTTTTTTCCCCTGCCTCCTGGCAGAATTCAGCTCTAGCCACCTAAAACAAATGACAATATTTGCTTTCAAAACACTTAAGGAAAAGTGATTTCATATCTTTCCTGGGGCATTTTATTACTCATTCATTCAGTCCGTCCACTAATATTTAGAGCACACCTGCTTTTCACAGGAACATAGACAAGGCCAGTGCCCTCATGGGACCTGACATTCTAGATCTCCTCTGGGATCCTCATACCCGTCACTGGCAAGAACTGCTTCTTGGTGTTTAATTTAAGTCTATAATGGTTGAACTTTTATTCTGAGTTCTAGTCCTTAAGAGTGTTGTGCTGTTACACCAAGGCAGAGGCTTTAAACTTTTAAAAAGTAGTGGAACCATTTTTTGAAATAGAATTTTACCCAAAACCTTGCGGTATACAAGGGGTAAATTGGATTTTCACTTTTTTTATTTGAGAGAAAGAAGCCTGGAGCTTACCTTCTTATCCAGGAAACATCTTTGCAGCTGGAACCCTACGCAGGCCGCAGGTACAGGACTGGAGAGCCAAGGCTCTGTTGTCAGGCCGCCGGTCTTCGAGTCCAACTCTGCTGTTAGCCACCTGCAACACTGGGCAAGCTACTTGCCTGTGTGAGCTTCAGTTTTTTCATATACTAAATGGGGGCAGTAATAGTTTGTACTTTAAAATATTTTTAGAATCAAATAAAATGATGTATCCTAAATACTTAGCATCCTGCAGTATATGATAAAGCCCCAGGAAATCTGAGCTACTTTGAAAAGAGCACTAGACTGTTTTCCACTACAATATGTGTTAAGAAGGAATTCTGCCTCTTGTGAACTCTGATACAAAACTAAAATGCAGGCACACTTAAAGAAGTGCTAAGACATGTTGAAAGGAATAAAATGCAGATTGGGAAGGGCAGTGAGAGGCTGGAGTGCTTGGTGCATGCATACTACAGTTTTGAAAATAGAATGGGACTGGAATAGACTGAGGAATGAGACCAGGCATTACTCAAGCCCAAAGACTCAGGGAGGGTCAGGTGGCACTCACAGAGGGCCAGTGAGGACAACTCCCTATGGAGCTGGACTGCTCACTGGACTAGGTTGTGGGAGGCCTTGAAGCTAAGTAGAGGAATTTAGAATCCGTGCAAACTGTGAGCCATTGTATCGTCTTGAGCAAGGAGGTGTGAGGAATCAAGTGGCCTTCAAGGCACCTGCCTCTGTTGGTTGGATCAGAGGGCTGCTGGTGGTGTGACAACCATGCTTTAGTCTTCCAGTGTGGCAGACATGACTCCACAAGAGTCTGGATAGGGACAGTGGTTGACGACATGCAGTGGAACAGAGCCATCTAGAAGACATTTTGAAAGCAAACCTCCAAAGCTTACAACAGGTGCTCCCTGGATGAGATAACATATTAGAGCCTTGGAGACTATTAGGAAGCGGTAAAAAGTCCTGTTTATCTTGACATTGTGACATTGTTGCTTTGAGCCTTGTAAATAATGGTTCTAAAAAAGTTTATTAAATTGAATTGCCCTGAATGGATTTAGCTTATTCCCCAAAAATGTACAGTAATAGGTTCCCGCTGGGAGCCAGGCAGATGCAGCTGTGCACGTGATGACATTCTCTTCACACTGCCCCCTCTGGAGCTTACTGTGGGTCCGGAGGTAGAGACAGGTCCACAGGCATTTATAAGAGAGCATGGCGCTGCTATGACCAGGAACATATACGGTGCTATGGAAGCAAAAAAAGGGCCCCTTCCCCCAGGCAGTGGGACAAGGGTAAGGAAGCTGATGCATAAATGGTGAATAGAAGCTGGCTGTACTGTGGGCCAGGGAGAGGGGCAAGAGTGTCAGAGACAGAGGAAGTACGGGGCGATGTGCAGAGACCTTGTGGTGAGGAAGGACATGGCTCCTCTAGGGAACCAGAGCAGCTCAGTAGGGCTGGAGACTCGGGAGCAAGGGTGAGGAAGGAGAGACAAAGCAGGAAAGAGAAGCACACCAAGGAGCACTCTGTGAGTCATGTGAGGAGTGTGACTTGACCCTGAAGACACTATGGAGCCGCTCAGGTTTCTTCAATGGTCAGCAGCAGGAGGGGCTGGGGTAAACTGTGGGTTTCGTTTTAGACACAGAGTCAGAGGTGTATCTAAGCAGCAGTATGTCAGTCATTTCTATTCTCCCATAAAGCATAATCTAGTCAACAGAGCATGTTTCCCTTCATTGTATCATCCCTCACTTGGAGCCAGCCCGCCAAAGTCCCCTTCTTACTGGGCCATCTCATCTGGGGTCCATATATGCTTGTTTCAGTTACTCTCATTTCATTTCCTCTTCTCGGCAGGGGCATTTGGAGTTCATTTGGATGGATAGACACATCTTAGAAGAGGGTCTGGGCTGGCTTCTGGGGCTGTGGATTCCCCCCACTCCCTTCATAGGAGTTTGTCCCCCTTCCTTGGTGTCCATCTGCACAATTTTGGCCCAGGACTCCACCTCCTAATGGAATATCACTCTTGGGAATAAGTAACCACCTCCCCTTTCTTTCAGCGGGTGCCAAAGCCTTTGTCTGTGACCAGTGCGGTGCCCAGTTTTCGAAGGAGGACGCCCTGGAGACGCACAGGCAGACCCACACTGGTGAGTGGACTTTGATTCGCATTCTCTCGGTCCTCCACAGTGTGACAGCATGTGGATAGGGGGAATCTCGGTAGCACCCCCTTTCAACAAAATGATGTCCAGTTGTTTCCTGGAGGCTGTGAGTGGGGATGGCTGTGCCAGGTTCAGCTACTCTTGCGTGTGGGGCTCGCTAGGGCAGGTGTAACTTTGCCCCATAAGCAGAGCAGCCCTGGATTAGGCCAAGGTCTCTCTCTGTCTCTAATAGGCCACTGAGGTTCTGTCTTTGCAGAGACCTCTCTTACTCTTGTCAAGACCTTAGATAGTCCGTACCATTGTCTGAGCATCCACTGCCCTCTGAAGGGTCAGGAAGCTCCTGTATCCCACATGACTAACTCTGAAACGCTTGTGGGCTGGTCCCCCCTCTACGAGGGTAGTCATTGTTTAAAAGCAAGCACGCTATATGCAGGATGCCTTTGAACAGTATTCACAACGACAGGATCACTTTGTTCCAAGCCTTGATTTCACAGCATTGACACTGGCCCATCATTGTGATCAGCATCCTCATCGTCACAGGTGCCCCTCACCCTTACCCGCTGCTCGCAATGTGCCAGGCACTGTTCCCAGGGCTTCCCTGGTGGCATTTGGTCCACCTTTCCACAAACTCTGTCAGGTTGGAGGCTACTCCCAGGTCATAGATGAGGAAACTGAGGCTCAGAGGAGGGAAGGTGACTTGCCTGAGTGAATGGTGGGAATGGGAGTGGTGCGGTTTAGCCTGCCTGGTTTAATCCTGGCTCTGCCACTTACTGTTTGCAGGACCATGGATAAGTTACTTAAACACTCCTAATTTGGGTTTCCTCATCTGTTAGAAAAGTTGTGTAATAATAGTACCTACCTCATAGCATAGAGCATTGTAGGGATTAAATAAGATATTTTATTTAAAATGTTTTGCAGAGTGTTTGGCTCACAGTAAGCATTCACTGCACAGTAGTAGATATATTTAACTTAATAAATATTTATTGAGTTACTACAGTGTTCCCAGCACTATTGGACCATTTAAAGTGTAGTAACATATGAGACAGACAGCATTTCTCATGGAACTGTGATTCTGATAGGGAGAGGGTATAGGAAAATACATGCGTAATATAATGCCAGGCTATAATAAGTGCTAGTAAGAATAAATAAAGCAGGATAAGGGGTAGAGAATGATAGGGAGAAAAGTGATATTTTAGATCAAGTGGTCAGTGAAGGCCTCTCTTAGAAGATGATATCTTAGAGTCCTAAAGTGAGGGAGGAAGCCATAAAAAATTTCCAAATATTTGCAAATCATACATCTGCTAAGAGACAGGTAGTTATAAAATACGAAGAAGTCTTACAACTAGATGTTTCTCCAAAAATAGACAAATAGTCAGTGAGCACCTGGAGTGATCCTTGACACCATGAGCCAACAGGAAATACAAACCAAAATCACAGTGAGGTACTACTTCACGCCCATGGGGATGTGGCTATAATAAAAATCCTGACAGTGAGAAGTGTTGGCGAGGATGTGAAAAATCGGAACCCCCACACACTGCTGATGGAAATGTTAAATGTTTCACCCACTTTGGAAAAAAGTCTGGCAGTTCCTCCAAAAGTTAAACAGAGTTACCATATGACAGAGCAATGCCTCTCCTAGGTATGTACCCAAGAGAAATGAAAACATACATATACACAAAAATATGCACATGCATTTTTATAGCAGCATTATTCATAATAGCCAAAAGCTTGGTAGAGATAACCCAGTGTCTACCCACTGAGAAATGAGTGAACAAAAGGTAGTTTCTCCATAAAAAAGGAATGAAGTACTGATACGTTCTACAACATAAATGAACCTTAAAAAACATTATACTCTGTGAAAGAGGCAAGACCCAGTCATACATGGTGTATGATTTCATTTATATGAAGTAACCAGAATAGGCAAATCCATAATGACAGAAAGTAGTCCTGGATGGTGTGGCTCAGTGGATTGAGCTCTGGCCTGTGAACCAAAGGGTCATTGGTTTGATTCCCAGTCAGGAAACATGCCTGGATTGTGGGCCAGGTCCCCAGTAGGGGGCATGCGAGAGGCAACCACACATTGATGATGTTTCTCCCCCTTTCTTTCTCTCTCCCTGTCTCTCTCTCTAAAAATAAATAAATAAAATCTTTTAAGAAAAAGACAGAAAGTAAGTAGTAAGTACCAGGGGTTGGGGGAATTGGGGGCAGATTGGGGTGGTGGCTAATACATATGGGCATTCTTTTTAGAGTGATGAAAACGTTCTAAAGTTAGTTGTGGTGATGGCTATACAACTCTGAGTGTATTAGAAACTATTCGACTGTAGACAGTCACTCTTAACATGAGTTTGAACTGTGCTGGTCCACTTACATGCAGATTTTTTTCCAGTCAATACCTGCACTGATCTACAGTTGGGGGTTTGCATGCAGGTATGGACAGCTGACTGTGTGCATTGGTCTGTGCCACTGTACACAGGGACTTGAGGGTACACGGATTTTGGTATCCATGGGAGGTCATGGAACAAATTCCCCATGGACACTGAGGGACAACTAAGTTTTTGGAGAGTCAAAAGTTATAATGGATTTTCAACTACATGGGAGGTTGGCCCCCTAATCCCCACATTGGTGAAAATTTTACTTTGAAAGTGTGAATTGTTTATTGTATGGTACATGAATTCTATCTCAGTAAAGCTGCATACACACATGTACACCACACATATGTGCACAAACATTTATAGAGACGGGGGAAAGCTGTCCATCCAGGGTTTTGAATGGGAGAATGATGTGGCTTGATTTATGTGTTTCAAAGATCACTCTGGCTCTTATGTTGATAATTGAGCACAGGAGTGTTTCAGTTATCAATTGCTGTGCAACACTTGATTAAAGAGGCATTGTCTCATTATCTCAGGCAGTTCTGTGGGTTGACTGTGCTCAGCTGGGCAGTTTCACTTGGGGTCTCTCATGGGGCTGCGGTCAGGTAGTGTCATCTGTGGACTGGACTGAGCTGGATGTCCAGGATGGCTTCCTTGCTCCCCGTCAGACTCTTGGGGCTTCTCCTTGTGCCCCCCACTGCAGCAGAGCAGCCTGGACTTCTCCCATGACAGCGCAGGGCTCCAAGAGTTAGGAAGTAGAAACTGCCAGCCCTCTTAAAAGCTGGGCTGGGAACATACAGCATCACCCCACCATATCTGATTGATCAAAGCCGGCAGAGGTGAGCCCCAGATTCTGGGGTGCATGACTGGACTGCACTTCTCAAAAGAAATGACAAACATATATGGAAAGAGGAATTGATGGCAGTCATCTTCGGAGTCAAGTGACTAAGCTCCCATAAGGGCTGCAGTGGAAGAAGCAAGACCAGTCAGCTGCTGCCATTATAATTATTGTCACCAGTATTTCCTTGTTCTGCCACCTCACAAAATATGCCTCTCCTGAGTGGAAGACACACCTCCTAAAACTGGTCTCATGGACTTTGCAGTGGTGCTGCCCTGGCCTGGGACAGGGAGGAGCGAGCTTCCTGGGTGAGCTGTTACTCCTGTATGCACCTGCCCGGATCTGTTACAGAGAAAGTGATTTGCTGGATAATTTTGCTCAGGATTCCAGAGCTGGGTATCTTAGAAGCCAGGGAAGACCCAGGTCTCCCAAGGCCCCAGCCAGTTTCTTATTGCTAGACTATATGTAACCAAGAATCTCACTCTGAGAATTCCAATCTGGGGGCTGAGGAGACTGAGCTGTGGGCCAGCTTTGCCAAGAAGCTTAATTCTATTTATCCAGATTCAATTTGCAGCAGCAGGGTGCAAACTGCCCGCTCAGCCAGGGCTGGGAGAAGAGGCAGAGTCCCTGCCGGGTGAGCTGAGAGGGATGCTGTTCACGAGTGGACCCCACACACTCACTGAGTGCCTTCTGTGTGCCTGGAACTCTTTAGTGATACGGTTGTGATTGACCAAGACACACTCCTTGCCCTTTTTCACCGAAACAGCTTTCTTGAGATATAATTCACATGTCACACAGTTCATCTGTTTAAAGTGTACAGTTCAGTGATTTTAGTACTCTGTGATTTTAATAGGACTCTATTAAGTGTTAAAGGTCTGGAAAATAATATAAAGTTTGCCATTGTAACCATTTTTAAGTGTACAGTTCGGTGGTGTAAATAACTTACCACCTGTGTTGAGAATTTGGGTATTGATTCAGCTTTGAAAGTCAGAATGTGTCCTAGGACCAATGACTTTCTAGGGTTTTTTAAGTCAGTGAGAACTTGAAAGTGGTCAGCACTTTCCAGAAAAGGGTATTTGTTTCAAATGTGATTGGAAAGACCCTGGAGTTTGAGTTAGAAGCCTGGGAGAGGAGCTCTAACTTCGCTATCCAGTAGGTGAATATCCTTCACTTGTTACTCATCCTTGCTGCCCTTCAAGTCTCCTCACCTGCAGAAGACATCGAGTGCTGATCCCTGCTAGAGCACAGGAGAGGCCCAGCCCATTCAGCCTTACTTTTGCTTTATCTCCAAGGTTGAGTACATGGAGCTCTTGAAAGGGGAAAATGGAAAAAATGGATCCAAATAAAGGATGAGAGACCAAGGTGGATACTTTGAGAAAAGCTTCCTCCCTGCCTGGGTGTGAGCTACAGGCAAGCTCCCCCAGCAGCGAGGAACACCTCCCAGTGCAGGCAGGCCGAGCTCTACCGGGAGAGATGCAGCAGCACCCTCATCCTCAGTGTGGGGTCAGCGACAAGGTGGCTCTTCCCAACACGTGGCAGAGCTCATTTGTCACTTACAGTGCCACTTCCAATGCAGCCCAGGTAGAGCCTCAGCATTCTCTAGTAATCACTGGATGAGCACAACTTGAAATCTAGTTGTCATCCCTGTTCTAAAAGAGGAACTGCATGATGAAGGGAGAGGCCTGATTATATGGAGTGCTGCAATAACACTGAAGTGATTGGACTGGGAGAAGCCAGTGGACTGCTAGTATTGTTCGAGAGTCAACAGGAGAACAGGGAGA